GCACGGAGTCTGGAATTGTGCCCGGTATATGGCAATAGGCTCACCCCCTATTACATGGGACTCATAACATAAATAGTGTATATATAACAATATATATATTTAGGTATCCAAATATAAATATACTTAACTACTTAGATAAAACCAAACTCAATTTTTGTAGGTTAGTAGCGAGAGCGACTCGTCTCGGCTTCGCACGGGTGCAATATGTATGTATTATACATATAAACCTTCCTCTCGAATCACTCCATCTATTAAAAAAACCGCATCAAAATCCGTTGCGTAGTTTCAAAGATTAAAGCATACAAAGGGACATAGGGACAGAGAAAGCGACTTTGTTTTATACTTTTTTTATTAAGTGGGGAAAATCATCGAATGACTGCTCCCGCCTGGGTGAGGCGGAAAGGAGTGTCAGACTCTTACTGACTAAAAACGACCCCGTTCCTTCTCCTGCACGTCGAGCCGGAGCCCCGGTTACCCGTTAGGTTCTCCGCGACTTTGTTTTATACTATGTAGTGATGATGCAAATGTTAATGCCCTTTCGAGTGCGTTTAAAATGCATTTTTGAAACCCCAGTGCCACGCTCAGTTGGTTAAAAATAAACTCAAAGTTTAACTTTCGAAACTTACCAAGTTTTAACGGTTACGTCATCATAGTTTTTGTTGTTAGCAAGTTTTGAGTAAATTTCCGCCATTTCAATGGCCATGGTAACGGAAATTTTTGGACTATGATAGTCAAGTAGCTAGCTGTGTTTTGTACACACGGCTACACATCGAGCTTTACATAACCAGTATAAACTGAACGTTAAATATGCGGAAAGATGATGAGACGCGACACCAGGGTAAACTGGTTTTGTATAGATTGATGTGTGGCCGTGTGTACTTACTTACTTACATATTATTTGCCGTCCTGCAGTACGGGGCATTTAAAATCAAAATAATTTTTGTTTGGTCAAGAATTTTACTTTCATTTTTTATTATTTTCTAATAGATCTGAAATAGTTTGGTGATATTAATTAGAGTGGGAAACTTTTTTTACCACCGCTTTTCTTCACGTGAGTGTCGCAACTCGCAAAGTCGCAAGTGCTGACAAGCCTTTGATAAACCTAAATCTTTTAAACTGACATCGTACCAATCTTCCTGCCGAGCGAGGAGTTTATGGCAAATCCTCTTATGCATAGGAAACCCATATGATAGTTCAGCATCTCATACAATTTCCGAAAAAAATTATAGTTTCACATTTTATTTCAGCATATTGCTAGTTGGCGCCAGAATTAAGTGCCGGTTGTTAAACTAGCGACATCTGTTATACAAATGTAAAATCAAGTAAAATCTAGCTCGCTCGAAGCATGTTTCTTTCAAGTACCGCGTAGGTAGGTAATTACCATATCCACTAGATGGCACTATTATCAATTTTTGTTAAATGAACAATTCACATCGCCCTTTTTTGCCATAGCACAGTTGTGTCTGAATGCTAATCGCAAGGAGTCATGGATTCAATTCTTTGTGTGACTCATTAACTGTTTTATATCTAAATGTGAGTCTGTGGTGTGCATTTGTATGTTTTGTAAACGCACCCATTCCTTAACCTGAAGAGTTTAAACGCGCTAAACTCCGGAAGTAGGTGCCGGTTCGATTTGAGAAAATCTTTGTCTTCGATAATCCATTTACCTAGAAAGCTATAGGCTATAAAACATCGCGCTACGATTAATAAGAGTCGCGAGTATTGTATACAAATAACTTCGTGAGTAATTTTGACTATTACAGGTTTTATAAAGTATTACTGGGTTTTAAAAAAAAAATGCAGTAGTAGCAAGCCGTTTGGAAATGTACCCGGTATATAGCAATAGGCTCAGTCCTTACATGGGACTTATACCATAAGTAGTGAAAAATGGGTGTTACATTGTACACACGGCTACACATCAAGCTTTACATAACCAGTATAAACTAAATGTTAAATGTGCGGAAAGATGATGCGACGCGACACCAGGATAAACTGGTTTTGTATAGATTGATGTGTGGCCGTGTGTACAGTGGCATTAAGCGTACCTCTACCTACCCCTTTGAGGATAATAAGCGTTACGTTATGTAATTTCGATCAAATCGAACCCATTGAAGATCGACCAATAAATAGTTTGGCCCTCTGACTATGGTAAAATAATATGGACATTTTCCCTACAGGGAGGTAAAAAAGGAAAGAAGAAAAAATAATCGACATCACCACTTTAATCGCCACTTTATTATCATACAATATAACAAATAAAATAATTTTAAAAACCAGAGTGCTGTTAATTGGCTAATACATAGTAAAATCATATTCCTTTATTTATTTATAATTAAATATAAGTAAATGTATTTTTAATGAGAAAAAAATACAAATAGTGTCTTGGTTGGTTTTTAAAATACACGATCGCGCACAGACTTGCGACTAATCGCACGCGTGACTTTAGTCGCAGAATCGTCAATAAAATACTGTCTTGTTACTATTGCAATGGACTTTTGACGTTTAGGGCATTTTCCAACATGTCAATTACAATACTTATTTCGAAATATCACAAAAATTTCTACGAGTTTTGTACGAGATGACTTTCAACTACTATTTTTGCGTAAAATTTCGTAAATTATCTAGAAAAATACAAATCAAAATAAAACTATGATTTCAACTGTCAAACACAGCGAGGACACCGGTGACTGCAACCTATTGTTCTTTAATTGTGTCTATAATGACGGTACTCAAAAACATTTTCGAATATTTAAACGCATTGACAAATCGAAATAACTTAATATTTGACTGGAAGAAAACACCCATAATTATGCGACTGCGGTCGACGCATGCGATTTTGTAAATTAAGTTCATAATAAACGAGTTTCTGCGTGCGATCTAAAGTCGTTAATGTGTGCCGTGTCTTATAGCAACCTGTAAACGTACCAGTGGTTTTATTGTGACGAATTAGGGAATGAATCAGTCTTATACATCGTAATAATGTAATTTATTTATGAGTAGAATAAACATCGTTATGTATGATTTTTAAGTATTTTTAACCTACTTTTACATTTATATACACACTACTGACATTTTGACATACGTAAGGTGCAGAAATGTGAATTATTTAAGATACAAGGTTCTTAAACTGTCAAAAACCGAGCGGTCACCGGTGACCGCACCGGTGACCGCGACCTATTGTTCTTTAATTGTGTCTATAAAACCGGTACTCGACGAGTTAATTGTGTCTATAATGACGGTACTCAACGAGTTAAATACAGATACAAGATGCAAAATACGTATTTCTTCGGTCTAGGAGTTGAAATACTTTTTTAAAATTCGATTTTATATCTTGTATTTAAATACATTCGTATTTGATAAATACTTTTTCGGGTTTATCCGAAAAAGATAATTTTAGAAATCTTTTCATCAATATAAATAAAATGTGATCAAATTCTAACCTGACATTTATAAAGGACAACAAAGTTCTCTACAAAACCCAACATTGGCGCAAACGAAAAAAAATGAGCCAATAACACTGCAATTTCATACATTTAGCCATCGATTTCGATCATGCTTCTGATGTAGCATTTATTAGGATCACACTAAAAATCTAAGATAAGTTTCATTTGCGCCAAGCCTTTAAAATAAGGAATTTGAAATCGTTGAGGTGTTGTTTTCCTAAAAGTATTTTAAAGATACCAATCTTGTATCTAGTATTTCGGATACTAATGTCAATAGTATTTTGTATCTGGTAACTGAAATACTTAGTTTTAAAGTATCTTACATTTTGTATTTCAGATACTCTGTATTGGGTATTTGTACATCACTGCTAAGGTTAAGGTAAACATCACCTTAGGTTGGGTGCAAGTTGCTTTCAACCGACCTATCTGGAAGCCATTAGGAAAGCCATTGAAATATAGGCCTCCCTATGTTTTGCAGCGGACATCCTACTGCTGATATGATAATGATGAAACATCACCTGAACTTATAAGTTATATGTAATTACTAATTATAAGTTCGAAATCGCCAACCCGCATTGAGCAAGCGTGGTGATTAAACTGTCAAACACTAAGCGGTCACCGGTGACCGCGACCTATTGTTCTTTAATTGTGTCTATAAAACCGGTACTCGACGAGTTAATGCTCAAACCTTCTCCGTGTGAGAAGAGGCCTTTGGTCAGCAGTGACTACGTATAGACTGATGATGTTACGCATGACTTCCAAAATCTTAATCAGATTATAGTAGGCCCTTAAAATTCATACACTTTTGATGACGGTTAACATTCTATTTTCTGTACAAACCACTGGCGCAAAATCAGACCAACAGTTCTTAACGCATTCGGCAACAGACAACAGTCATATATATATAAAAATATTGCAAACTGTCAGTCTTTCAGTATTACTGGTGGTCCACTGTCAAAAATACACTACATACTTACTATTTTCCAAAAGGGGTAAACCTATAAACATAGACTATGAAATAGGTCTATGGTAAAAACATCGGGTTTAATCCTACTACTGAGAATTTTTCCTAATCGGGCAACGAACCCTGGTCCTCAGCAGTCGTACCTAAGACTACTAGGCTAAAAATAAATGATTTAATAATATAAAACTATTACTAACAACATTCATTAAAAGAAAATACATAGGTATATGAAAAAAAAGCTTAAAGGACTTATAATAACGAATGATGCTGTCTACCCCAAATGGAGAAGTATTCGTAAAGATATTTTACTATAAAGATTGTCCTGTCAATCAAAGTAGCTAGGTTCATTATCCAAGTTGGGACGTTCATAATTCTGAGTCTGTTGCACCGGGCACAATAACCAGACTCGTTAAAATTGTAAATGTCCCCCAAACACACAATAATACATTACTCAACCTAACTTCATTGACAACAAATTAATTTTAACAATAAAAATGACAGTCGACCACCAAAATGTAAGTTAAGGCACACATCATACGCAAGCGAGCCGTGCGACACGGCACACAGTTGCGACTGACGCGACAACCGCGCGATTAATAGTCGTCGATGTCGTACAGATTGTCGATTTCCTCGTCGTCGAGCTGCATAGACTGGAAGTCAACTTTGTAGCGTAGGAGACCTGTGGACAACAATTACAATTATTACAATTAAGAATTTTAAAATAATTTTACATTATAACTTTCCAGAAACATACTAAATTACGTAGTAGCATGCGACAGACGACGCGTCTTGTGTCGCGGAATGCTACTTATTAATAAGAGCCTCTAGCATGGCTTGAACCTAGTCGAGAGTTCCTCGTCAAATAAATACGTAAGTAAGCCGAAAAGATAATAATTAAATCGAATAAGTTATTAGAAAGTAAATGTGAACAGTGGTGTAACTACAGGGTGGCAAGTATGCAAAATGTCACGGGACAGAAGGAAAGGGCCCCCGTTTAGAGGCACTCAACTGAACTTCTCTTTTTTACATTGGGAGAGGTGGCTTATCCGATGAATTTAACATACAATTACACCACTGCTCGTGAACATACAATCCAATCGCCAAAACCGGACTTGATCCCCTGTTCTGGCGACTAGCTCGAGACCCCTTGCAACCACTCAACCAACGAGTTAGACAAACGAGGAGACATGTCGATCGGCTAATGAGGCAGATATGAGGCAAAATTGTCTTATTTTCTACATAGGTACAAACAGAATAAAAAAACCAAACAATTCGCAAGAAAATAACAGCACTATCAAAAAAAGAAACAAAACGTTCATGCATCATATAGTTACATAGAACTAGCATAGATTAAATTTGATAACCAGCATTATATTACAATAACGTAGCAGCATGCATAACTGAATAATTTCTAACCAATAGGGATTGGAGAAAACGCTCAAAATTAAGCTATTTACTTTTACTCATTGCTCCTTTTAAAATAGCACACATAAAAAACATAGCGTTAGTGTTATTAGTTACCTCACATCCATTCCGGTTGCGCTAGCATGTTAGTAGAAAAACATAAAACATATTTTAGATTACATATTCATAAACAAGTATTTGTATAAAAAAATAAAAGAAAATGTCGTGTAGATGGACATTGGTTTAATAACGTAAAACTATTGAACAGATTTAAATAAAATGAAGTAAAACGATAGATAAAAATGTCTAAAATTTCGTATTTATTGAATTAAAGAGCCACTTCACACTAGTGTTGGTCCGTAGGCGTTCGATAAACGAAAGCACCGCAGTGTGCCGCGTTACGTGCATATTCATTTATCCGTGCACTTACGCCGTGACAACGCGACACCTGCGCGACGCATACGCTAGTGTGAACGGGTTGAAAATGTCAAGAATGAATGATTTAAAATATCGCACTCTCAATTAACTTACATATCTCTTACTCTGAACTTCTTAAGTAGAGTTTCAGGACCTATTTCTAAGTGAAGGTGAAATATAGTAAGATTTTCTTTCATTCTCTTAGGCCTTGTCCAGAAGAAGCGAATTCGTCGCGAAACATTTTGCGCGCTATTGAGATACTAGGCTCGAATACATAGCGTCCACAAACATCGCGCGAATTCAAAATACGCACGTAAATCGCGTGCATAACGCATGACCCTCGACTCGCGCGTGATCGCGCGTATTGCGCGCGAGACGAGATACTATGGACCCCTTGTTGCGTCCAGTTAAACGCGAACTCCAGCCGAGGGGACGTATCGGGAACAATGGAGCGCCAAAATTCGTCCCCAAATGCTCACGCGTTGGTACGCTCTTTCTGGACGCAACGATCGTGCGTAATTCGCACGAGAGAATCGCGACGAATTCGCCCATTCTGGACAAGCCAAATTAGGGGTTTAAGAAAAACTAAAAATAAATAACAAAACGTGTACCATTGCAAACTCTTTTATATATAAGAAAAGCATACAATCCAACTTGTTTACCTTAAATTTTAACACGCTCTTAACTAACAAAATTCCATCATTTGTTTCCATCATAGTTCATAATAATAATAATAAACCTTATTGCACTAACGTTTTGTTCATTTCCGCTTAACATTTAATAAAAAAAACTGATTTTCCAAAACAGAAACATGACCGAACCGAGCTGATTAGCTAAAACAACTAAATTTATGACAAAATTTCGTTGATTTTTTCCAACAAATCCATACTTCTCCACAAGCCGATTTTTTTGGTCCTCCGATGGAAGTTAAGCAACATTTTGCATTTTTTTTTCACACAAACGGTATTTTAAACTTTATAAAAAATTACCAACTTCTCTTAACAACACGGCACACAATATGCTTCTCTATATATTGGGCTATATTTTATATATATGGCGTTTATAAAAATTGTCCAGAAATAATCGTAGGGGTTGATAAAATGTATAAATATTTTTTAATTTTTTTTATCTTTTATAGGGGTATTTTTGTGTAAAAACTTTGTATATAAACTTATTGAGTTCCTAAGACTAATTAGACAGCTAATCAAGTTTTCCTGGCTGTATTACCTACCTAAGTAAATGAATGGTATAGTCGCCAGGTTTTTGACTAATGTACTGAATAAAGGTGCTTGAAAGTTCAGTACATTTGCCAGTTTATAAGACACTTGTTACATGGGAACTCGTTCAAATTCAGTTACTAATCTCTTGTAAAATAATGGAAATGAGATCTTTGGAATAGACAAACAGAAATGTACTTTTCCTGACGGAGACATCATGGCAACTTGGTAAGCGAAATAACTAATTTTTGTCATTTTTATGAGGAACATACAACTATTATTATATTTCAAAACGCTCAAGGTCATTTTAGAAGTTCTATTTTTGGTAAAAACGGTCAGAAAACTATCAATATTACTCATATGATAGTATTCAGAAGAAAATATGAGTAAAACACAAAGTAAAGAGATTAAAATATGACAGTTTTGTTATAGTTACCCTGGCAACATGTAACATTCATTGTAGAACTGGTCTCGGCCTAGCTTACGCAATAATATTCCTTACTAGCTTTTACCCGCGGCTTCGCTCGCGTCACAAAAAGATAAAACGTAGCCTATGTGACTACCCATCCCTTCACCTACCTTCAGTTGAAAAACCACGTTAAGTACCTCCGTTTTGCCGTTTAAGACAGGCAAACAAACAAACAGCTGTTCGCTTGCGTGGAATTCGGTTATAACGCGCGTTTTAGATTTTTCCGTGGGAATGAGAAATTCTGCCGCGGTAAAGCCTTGCTTTTCCAGGACTCAAACTACCTTTATACCAAATTTCTTCAAAATCGATTCAGCCGCGTGAAAGAACAGAGGAAGTTATTTTTGCATTACCACAAATACCTCCTCCCATTTTAATTTAAAAGACTTCTATTTCCTATAAGGGTTATATTTGCAACGCTAAACCAAAACTGAGTGGTAAACTATATTATACGTTTTATTATCGAAAACCTAACTACTTTTGACATCTACTTAGAAATAAACCACTTCACTAATCTAACCTAACTAATATAGCTACTGTATCAATCAACGTAAACAATGAACAAAGCGTCTTAGAACGACGGAAAAAAAATACTAATATCTACTTAGACAAAATAAACACTTGACTAATCAAATCTACATAGCGAACAAATATTAATATTAATCAATAAAAGCGCTAGATGCGTACACTAAAATATAGCTGATACGGAAGCTTGGAACCTATACTTTCGCCAGTAACGAAACCATAGCGCCATCTAACTCGATCCTAACGCCATCTATCGAGCGTTGAAACAACAGCGTACAATATATTTGCTAATTGTTGAGTATTGTTGCCACTATGATTTCGTGTACCTTTAACAACCTAAAATCTATAAAATACGCAACTTAATGTAAAATGGTTGGAACCAAAATTTAAAAGCGAAGAATACTTAAAAAACACATCGCTATTCCACATAGACACCAATTTCGTGTACCTTTTAACAACCTAAAATCTATAAAATACCCTACCATTTTACATTGAATTCAATGTCTTGTGTATCATATGTGTAAATGAATCAAAAATTAAAAGCGATAAAAATACTTAAAAAACACAACGTTACCCCATTTTACAAACACTCAGCGCACTCTATCACCAAGTAGCGTAACTACTACATTAGTAGCGTCATTTTGTGTACCTTTAACAACCTAAAATCTATAAAATACGCAATTTAATGTAAAATGGTTCGAACCAAAATTTAAAAGCGAAAAATACTTAAAAAATAGCGTAACTACTACATAGACACCAATTTCACGTACCTTTAACAACCTAAAATCTATAAAATACACAATTCAATGTAAAATGGTAGGAACCAAAATTTAAAAGCGATAAAAGTACTTTAAAAGCACAACGCTACCCCGTTTTATAAACACTCAGCGCCATCTATCGCCAAGTAGCGTAACTACTACACAACGTTGCCACGTTGTGTTTTTTAAGTATTTTTACATATAAAATAGCAAATAGATGAGTCGAAAAGCGCACTGAATAAGTGTAGATTAACACCAAATAAGCGCTATAGATTAAAACGTGAAATTTCCAATTAGTAGGTAATTCGTTGAATTGTTTTAGATGGCACAAAGCGCCATCTACAGGAATACACACAGCGCCATCTATACTAATATTTTTGTTTTCCCTCGGGAATATCACATTTTTCCGGGATAAAAAGTACCCTATTATTTAATCTGGACTTCTAACTTTACGTCTGCAAAATTTTAAAGCAATTGGTGTAGTAGTTACGGCGTGAAGGTGGAACAAACAAACAAACAAACAAACTCACTTTCAGATTTATAATATTAGTAAGGATATCCAACACTTAGAGTACCTAATGCTAGATAAATATTATGCATATAGGGATTCTTTTTAAATTAAAAAGTTTTTACAACAATAATAATTACTAGCGATCAACAATCCTAACTGCCGTACTTAGTCATTTTACTGCCCAGTCCCCATGCAGTCACCGGTCATCGCCCTCCATTAACTTTATTTTAGACCTCATTTCCGATGTTTAGAGACTACTTTTGTATGAACAAATTTTGGGTATGATATATCAACATATTAATAATTAGGCTACTTAAAACCCAATCTTTACAAACGGTGAAAGAAAACATCGTGAGGAAACCTGGGCTCATAATTTCTAAT